CCCAATTGAGGTTTCCGGCATCTACTCTATGGAAAAAAGGCAAGGTGGCTTGACTAGCTATGCCTTTGATTTGATGGTACTTTACTTTTTGCAACAGAAAGGGTTAATGCCGTGCCTTCACGAAGTAAGCAACTTTCCATTTCAATCAAGTCCCATGTTTACCCTAATTTGTGGATCAAATGCTTTTTTAGATGCGACCTATGATGGCTAATGAGAAGAAGAATCCACATGTGATCGATGACTATTATGGGAGACGAGATTTCTACGAGAATGATACAGCCAAGATTGTAAATGTTTTGCATCCTACTTGCATTATCAGATTTCCAATGTAGTTGGCATCATCTTACTTTATATCACCACAATTGCAGTCGTTTGATTGTAGTCTATGTTTTGAAGTCAGTAACAATTTTGTGGTACTAGATAATTTGACTGCTCTAGTAGATATTTCCTCTAGGCAGAGAACTTCGGAGAGCTTGAAAAACCATGGGATCTTGGGCTGTTGTTTGTGGAATTTTTACGCTTTTTCGCATCTCGCGTGCACCAGAACGAAGTTATCCAAGTTATCACAAAGAATATCATAACGAGGGATCAAACTCGCTGGAGTAGGAAACTACTACAGATTGCCGGTTTGTTGGAAGACTTACATTTAAATGGATTTCGACTTATTCTCTTTGTGTTTCAGATCCTTTTAGGACTGAAAATGTAGTTACATTCACTAAAGCCTATCAGGCATACTTCTTCAATTGTTTTCTCAAATCCTACCTCTATTTTGCTGTACCACAAACAACTGCTGGTCCATTGTTGGATATTACGTTATATCAAAAGGTTGGAGCGATTTTCTCCGCTTCCTGATATTTTATTTCCATGCTACAATTTTTTCTTGCAGTTGGGTGAAAGTCCTCGGAAGAAGAAAGGAAAGAGGAGAAAGGTCCCGCCGACACCTGGGAATGAAATCAAAGAAGAGCAAAAGCGAGAAAATGGTATTGAGCGACGTACTCCGCTCAGGACTATGGAGGTTGCCGTGAACTCTCTCAGCATTAGTGTTAGTCACATTTTTTTTGCCATCTGTCGTATATTTCCAAAATTTCCAACCCCAACTCTTCAGATAGTTCGTTTCTACACATTCTCCTTATCGCAAACGTTTAAATTTGTTTTCACGGTTGTCACTTAACATTTGAGTTGTTGCTATTTGAGGAGGTCGAGTATACTGCCGCAGCAGATGCCTTAGTCGTTGATGACGAGGAAAGGACAAAGATTGAAAGCAAAATTATGGAAAACTTTTTGGTGAGTTTTTTTTCCATATCTTCTTGGTTTCCAGTTTTTCTTGAAAGCGTTTGCTAGGTGTCAACCTGTTGTTCTTGCTCAACTAAAGTTCATTTCACAGATTTCTGACCTCCACATTTTTGCTATTCAAGCATAATAAAACAAAGAGAAGAACAACCGCCTAGGAAACTTTTGCATTA